CTGGGGAGGCCCGGCACGGCTCCGCACGCCAACCGCGAGCCGCCGGCGCAGGGCCCGAGGCGGGGAGTGGCAGCGAAGGACAGCTCTCCTGACCTCGCGGCCGGTCGAAGGACACGCGACCCGGGCACCGTAGCGCAAGCAGGCTCAGCCGAGCTTAGGCTCCTGGACCACCCCGCTGCGATCGCTGACCGGCCGGGTCCGGCCTGGTGTGGCCGGTGGCGTTGGTGGTCAAGGGCAGGAGCAGGGGGTGTGAACTGCGGGCCGGCGGGCGCGGGGGAGGCGGGAGGCCGGGGCTCTGGGGCTTTCCGCGCGGAACTTTGGGTATAACAGCGTGAACCTGCGTGTGTGCATCTGCGCGCCCGAGGCTTTGTGTACTACGAGTGCGTGTGTCTATCGATTGGGTTTGCGAAGCTTCACCCTGCCTTGCAGAGTTCCCTGGTGGGTGTCAGCGTGCGCCATGGGTGGGGGTGCTGGACTCGGGCAGGTCTGGGTGGATCCGGCTTAGATCTTAGCAGTGCTAGAGGTAGCCTTTATTTCTTTTCTCTCTGTCTCCTTCCCTCTCTCATCCATCCCTCCCTATCTCCCTCAATTTTACCCTCTGTGGGTACCACCAGAGTGACCCGTGGATCTGTGAGTCACACTTATTTCTCAGGTTTTTGTGGGTATTGCTGTGGGAACAGTCCCGAAGGCTGTGAGTGTGGAACAGGAACGGGAGTCGGGGTTCGGGAGTGCTTGCCTTTCAGGAACTATAGGACTGCAGATACAATAGCTGGGGCGGTTTAGGGTTTGGGGTGTGATCCGTGGCCACCAACATCTGTGTGACTCTGCTTATGTCTGGGTAATTGATGAGTATGCCCTTGAGTAACTTACCAAGTGTCTAAAGACTAAACAGACATTCTAAAGCTATCAGAGAGACGACCTCCTTGTGTCTGCTCCTTCACCCAGGCATCCTAAGGAAAAAGTTTTGGGTAAAAGAGAGTCTTGCTCTAAGAATTTGGGTGCCCCAGATATCTTCTTGGATATGGAGGTTCTAATGTACCAGTCTAAGATAGGAGTTATGGGACACTCCCAAGTTCTTCAGGCCTGCTGAGGGCTTGATGGGTGGGGGCCACAAGTGGCACCAACTTTCAGGGTCTTAGTTTTTAGTGCTAAGAGCAAAAAGTCAACTAGTACTTCCCTCCTTCCTATTTATCCTCTGTGAACTGAGAGGAGATTGAGCAGGAGACAGAGACCCAGGGAGATTCAGAGGGATCTCTGCCCTCAGGATGCCCAAGGTTGATGTCTCAAGTGAGGGCTGAAAGAGCCAGGGAAGGAAGGTGGAGCGTGTGGGTTTGCAAGTGTTTAGGGAATAGAGATTATTGGGGTGCCCGTATTCAACTATTAGTCCCTAGTCTCCATACATACTGTGAGGTCTTGCTCTTGTTTTCTAAGATGGTGATAGTGAGGTGCTAAGGTGAGAGTCTAACAGGCAGTCGAAGCTCAGCAAGCGTGTATTAAACGGGCACGTAGAGGAGGATGCAGCCATAGAGAGGAGTTGTAAGCAGGAGCAGCCTTTGAACTGAGATGAAAGGCCATATGCTTGCTGAGAGAACAAGTCCACATGGGAAGGTCAGAGAGACCACATTCAACCCCTTGGAGTTTTGCTCATTTATTCATCTCATTTACCGTGGCTTCATTTATTTGCTCCCGTTTGCACAGAAACACGGGCGCCCACAGAGCACTGGAGAATGACCTGAGAACACAGAGAACCAGCCTTCAGGTGTGTAAACACATCGACACGAGAGTCACTCTCGGCCTAGCGTCTCTGTTACCTGGGCATTTAGTGTCTGGGCCGTGGATGTATGCACCCGAAGGACGGACGTCAGTGTATGTATGGGACATCAGAAGTGACACATGGGGAGGTGTGCCCGTGGAGACGAGTACAGCCCCCATATGGGAATGGCCCAGTCACCAATGCCAGGTGTATGGTATGAGGGGATGGTGGCCCATGGCAGTCAGATTTGCAGGAGAAGGTGGAAATGAGAGCCTGCTGCATCTGCATGGCTCTAAGGATTGGCCTGACTGGGACAGTAAGGGAAAGAAGAAAAGACAGACACATGGACATGCGGAAAAGCTGGCCTGGGCTCTATAGTGAGAAACCACAGCAATCCTGATCAACATGTTTATTATATGCAGCTGAACAGGGAGGCAGGGTTATTGTATATGGCTAAAGAAAGAAACAGGGATATTACAGATAGACAAGAGGGCAGGGCTTTTATGTACCGCTGAACACGTCTAGCCGACTTGGTAGGAGCAGTCTCTGTAGGGGAAGTCACCAGGTCATAGACTTGTCGGGGAGGGGGAGGCTAAAGCGGACATTTTCTGCACACACTGTCTGTATTTGCATTTGGACCTGAGGAAGGCTTTGCCATCCCTCTGAACCTCATGTGGGGAAGGCTTTGCCACTCTGTGGGACCAGTCCTTGAGATGGCCGTGCCCATGCCAACAGTACCTTCTCTGAGAACTGAGAACTTCACTTGCTTCCTACAGGAACTTGAAGCTTAAGAGGTGAAATCTTTTTTTTTTTTTTAAAAAAAAAAATATTGGCAACTAATGCACCAAAAACTCATTGAATAGAATTGGAAGAGAAATAAGCAAAACTCCAGTGAACTCAGTCCAGCCCGTGTCTATGGGTTGGTGGGCTTTTGGCACAAGAGCATGTGTGCACTGAGTCTGTATGGTATGTGTCCAGGAATTTGGTAGTGTTTTCTTTTTGCCCCCATCCCCAGTCCCTGCCTGCTTACACAGAGATGTTTGGCTTGGAGCTCAGGTAAGGTTTTCCATTCTCCAGCTTCCTTTCTGCCAGGCCACATGCCCTGGGCTTCCTCCCTGGACTCTGTCCTCGATGTGTCTGACCTTCTGCCTTCTAAAACCCACACAAACCCTAGCCTTTCCTGCTCCAGCAACTTGACTGCCTACTGCTTCTCAGCCAGGCTTCACAGTCCTCTGTGAACTGGCCCAGCTGATCTCTGGGGTCCCCCTTCCTTTTCTAGAATATTCCTATCCTCTGCCCGCAGAGGAATGTCCCACTCTTTCTTTTTGGCAGCTTTTAGATGCCGTCCCCCCACCCTAAGCTTTCGGCCACCAGTTCCTACCACACTTGGACTGTGTCTGTCACAGCCCACATCATCCACTCACCTCACGCATGCTTCTACAACATTGCCTGTTAGCTGAACTGGCCACAGCCTGCTGAGCACTGCCCCTACAAGGAAGGATTCCCATTTTACAGTCGAGAACACTGATTCTGCAGAGGAACTCAATCACGTGCTCAAGGAGGCCGGGATATGGACCTCATGTCCACTCTAAATTCCTCCGTCCATTATTAATACTTACTAGGCACTCTACTGAACACCTTACACATGGGCTACTGCAGCCTCTCCATTAGCACAGTGCAGGAGGGAGTAGTATCAGTATTGTCACTGGGAAATTTTTTTTCAATGGGAAAATGAGGCCCAGAGAGGCTAATTGCACCTGCCACTGTGGAGTGGTGCCCTAGCATGAGCCACATCACTCTGCTGTCCATAGCTCCCCACAATTGTGCCAGGGACAAGTGGGATACTGAGCTTCAGCAGGCAATTTCAACTGGCATTATGTTTTCTCTTCTAGCTGCCAAGGGGCCAAGGCATGAGCTGGGGTCGTTCTTCCCAATGGCATCTCCCCCTGGTCTGGAACTGAAGACATTGAGCAATGGTCCTCAGGTTCCAAGGAGACCAGCCCCACTGGGCCCAGTGGCGCCATCCAGGATGGGTGTGGAGAATGCCTGCTTCTTCTCTGAGGAGCATGAGACTCATTTCCAGAACCCTGGGGATGCCAGACTGGGTAGCTCCCCCAGTCCCCCTGGAGGTGTCCCCTCACTGCCCCGGTCCCAGCGGGATGATCTTTCTCTGCATTCAGAGGAGGGGCCAGGCCTGGAACCTGTGAGCCGCCCAGTGGACTATGGCTTTGTTTCTGCTCTGGTTTTCTTGGTGAGCGGAATCCTCCTGGTGGTAACAGCATATGCCATCCCTCGAGAGGCCCGAGTCAACCCTGACACAGTGACAGCGAGGGAGATGGAGCGCCTGGAGATGTACTACGCCCGCTTGGGCTCGCATCTGGACAAGTGCATCATCGCGGGCCTGGGGCTGCTCACAGTGGGTGGCATGCTTCTGTCTGTGTTGCTCATGGTCTCTTTGTGCAAGGGTGAGCTGTACCGCAGGCAGACCTTCGTCCCTGGCAGGGGATCCAGGAAGACCTATGGCTCCATCAACCTGCGTATGAGGCAGCTCGCTGGGGATGGGGGCCAGGTCCTAGTGGAGAATGAGGTTGTCCAAGTCTCAGAGACCAGCTATACCACACAGGGCTCTTAAGTAAGAGTCCATCCTATCTTGCTGCTTTAGCTGCAGAGCTTGGAAGTCCCCCAAACCTGGGGCTTCAAAGTGAGATCCACAGAGGGCCCTGTGGAGGGAGTTTTGGTGCTGGGGTGGGAGCAGCCTGGGTTCTGGCTTAGGCCCGACTCAGGCAAGCACTGTTGATGTGTTCTGCAGCTTGAAGTTTTTGCATAAGGCTTTGTTTGGAGGATGGCTTCTGCTGCTAAAAATACATTTTTGGAAACCACTGCTCTTAGAAGATGAGGTTGCCATTTCTCAGGGTTGGGACTCATGTGAAAGGGTTGCCTCTGTTCCTCATGCCTTGGGAATTCTGAGACCCCTGCTATCCTCACTAGCCAAGTGAGAGTGTTGGGTGACCATCTGGAGTAGAGCGTGGCTTCATGGTGGTGGGAGAAGTCGGTTCTGAATTGACCCCCTGCAGTACCCTACTGACTGAACCATGACCCTCCCCTCTCCAGACCTCGGTTGCTCAGTCTCTGAAGAGTAGGACTGGGCGCCCCACCATGAGCCACATCTGCCCTGGGTGTAGGAAGCCAGTCTGCCTCTGTCCAACCTACAAAGAGAGATGACGGTTTTTGACAGGGACGGACCATTGTCAGTGCCGCCTTCTGGCCTGCATTGGTGCCTCCCAGTGCCAGGAGCAGTGGTTCTCATGGTCCTGCTACAGAGCCTGGGTGAATGGGTTTGGTTCAATCCAGAATTTGACCCAGTGTGAATTGGTCTTGGAATTTGGTTTCCTATGGTGGCTAATTTTCTGCAGTGGTTCCTTTCAAAAGTGCACTGGGCACCTAGATGTGAGGACTTGATTGTATTTCTGTAGGCATGGTGGGGGTTTATCACCTTCCCCCTCCCTTAGTGAGCTGTTACTTAGGCCTGATCTCATCCTGGTAGCAGAAAACAATTTTCCTTAATGCTAAATTTGTAATGTCTGCCTTTCCTTCTCAGTAAATTTCAGTTGCCAGTCATCTGGGGACATATAAGGTACACTTAAGTAGCCTGGATACTCCAGCCGCATGGATTGCTGTTTGCATTCTGTCTTCAGTGAAGTATTTCCAGGATCCCTTCAAACTCTATTTAAACTTCTGACAATGGAAGTAGGCATTAGGGGGCAAGGAGATGGTGGCAGACATTTGGGGAGCACTGTCCAGTCCAAAAGGCCCCAGAGGACTTCCAGAGCACATACTATCTAGGCTATGGGAAGACTCTAAAAGGGTCATTTCCATGAGCCCTTGCTCCAGGCGGGTCTCTTGCCCTCCATCTTAGCTGTCTGTATAAGCTGAGATCCTAGCTGTTGGTGGGGGTAAGAATATGGGGTGGCACAGGGTCTGTAGGCTGGAGAGGTCCTGACTGTGTGGAACATGAACCTTCAGCTCAGGCAGCTTGAACATCTGGGCAGTATAAGGTCACAGCTTCTGAGACAGATCAAATGTCTGCTCATTGGCAGTTTTTGCCTAGAGCAGAGAGCTGGGGGAGGGCTGAGGGGGACAAAATTGTGCAGCTTGGCTTCGGAGGTTCTGCTATGGTACTGAGAAGGTGTGGCTTAAATAGGACAAAGCTCACAAGAGCAAAAGGTCCTAATCCAAGGGCTTCTTTATATATGTTGATTTTTCCCCTGCTGGAGCGGGGAAATACTGGACAAGGTGGCAGGAACCATGCTAGATGAATCACAGTGAGGTAGGACGTTGCCAGTGATGGGCCCCAGGTTCCCAAATCCGTGCTGGTAATAAATGTATCAATCCGAGTAGTATGGATTCCTGTGGCGGTAGAGGTGGCATGCTAGGCTACAGTGCCTACTGAGAGTCTATGCCTACGACTGTCCATTTGGATCAGTTTAAACATAATGAAATGTACTTAGGGGCTAAATCTGCTGGAAAATAAAGGAATGGCAGATTTTTTTTTCCAAGCCAGAGGATCCTGCTTTGTATTCCGATGGGTAACTTCTTTAGAAACCACATGCAAATGGATCAAGACAGGCATTACCTTGTCCGTGAATTAAGACGATTTGAGAGATGCTGACAGTATTTCCCCAAGATGCAGCCGAGATCTCACAGCCCATGGACCAAGGCTTAGGAAGGAGCCAGGGAAGGATGAGGAGTGCTGAGAACCTTCTGTGGGTCTCTTTGGGATTCGATGTGGGGTTTGTCTCTGTGGTTGCTGGAACATGCCTGCCTCCCTTCTAAGAACTGCCTCTGCCATCCCATTACATCCCCAATATTGCTTTTCTCATTGTATCTGAATAGACAGAGCTTTCAGAACTGGTAAGATCTGGGTTTGAATATGAACTCTGCCACTTACGGGCTGTGAGAGCTTGGGCGAGTTACCCCACCTCTCTGTTTAAGTGTGTTAACTGGGCCATACCACATTCCTAGGGTGAGAAACATGGTTGGCATATGTAGTAGGTCTTCATGTTTGAATGAGACGATGAAACAAAAACATCCTATTCCTGACAGGGCAGGTGGTGCCCTATGCAATGTCCTGGAGCCCCACAGTACCTGCCCAGCTCCCTGGAGCCTTGTTGGAGTACTGTCTTGGGGTCAGAAGACCCCATGACTAGCAGTGTGGGCGGCGTGGCTTGTCAGTGGGGTCTGCAGCCAGAACGTCCTCTCTGGGCCTTGGTTTAGCTTTTAGGGGTTTCCCTGAGGGAGAAAGGTTCTCTTCCCAGCCCTGGCATGACATAATCCAGTGATAACTGGACCCAGGAGACACTTGCTGGGGCAGAGGAATCTGTGACCCTGACTCTTTCTCATCTGAGGCCAGGCCTGTCATCACCATCTCCGTTTCCTTACAGGTACCGTTTGGGTCTCCCAGCCAACAAGGGTTTCTGGCTGATTTGACCACCATTGCTTCTTTTCTTGGGAATAGTATCACCTTCCTAGGGATTCTCTTTCAAATGTCCTCCTCCCTGCATATACAGTTCTGTGCACGAGGACACACACACACACACACACACACACACACACACACACACTCTGAACCTGTCTACACCTCTGCAGCTTTCTCATTTGACCTTGCTTGGGAGCCAAGGACTCAGCCTCCGGCTGCAGAGCTATGGTTTCTTCCTCTGTCTGCCATGGACCCCATGATTTTAAGCTTGCCATCCTCCTAGCAACAGTCCAGTGTCCTCTATAGTTCCCCTCCTGTTTCCTTATTGGGAAAAGAGGAGAGTTCTGGGGGATTCCAGAACCCTGGCACTCGGGGAGGGGACTGAGCTGAGAACTGAGAGAACCAGGTCATGCTGGTTACCACATCCCTGTGGATGACAGCAAGCACAGGGCAGGAAAAGAAGGTGGGAGGCTTCAAGAAGCCAGAGGCAAGGTTACGTTAGAAGTAGGATATCAGTGGTATGGACATTGGTGGGGAGATGTCACCCATTTGGTTTGTTGGTTTTCTCTCTAATTTCTCCAGGGTTAGATTGATCTGAGAGGGAAGCTTGCTGAAGTCTTTGCTGAACTGGAGGGGCAGGGAGTGCCCATCAGTGGAGGTATGTTAACATTGCCAGGAGTTAGGTATCTTCACACATGGAGCATAGTAGAATTAGTTGGATTTAGCCAAGACTCCCCCAAGCTTCCATTTGAGCTTTATTTGAGAAGAACCAGAGTCTTTGAGGCCAGAACCTGACTTTTGGTCCTGCTCTAGCTTCTTGTTCTTGAGCATCCTCTTTCCTACATCATTCCCCTTCTTCATTTGTCCTGAGCAGATGGACAGCATAGGACACCTGCATAGTGCAGAGGGTGGTGTACAGTGTTGGAGCATTGCCTGGACATAAATCTCAGAGGCACAAGAGGCAGAACCCGAGGGTCCATGGGGGCTGGTTCATCAGTGTAAAGGATGACTACTCGGGTGCTTGACAATCACCAGTGTTCCCTGGCCTGTTTCTTCTGGAAAGCAGCTGTGCTAGTTGCAACGCCTACCCCGTGAGACTCGTGAGGGGGAAATGTGTCTTTAAAGCACTTAGCACAGTGCCCTGCATTTTCTAATAGCTCTAAACTGCTATTTATGTTCTCTTATTCATCCATGGTATCCTGCTATGGTTTGACAGATAAGCACAGTCCTGACTGGGCTGCATCCAGGCTGTCTTGTGCAGGATGGCAAGACTTTTCTGTGATATGGATGCAGAGGGAGAGAAAGAGAGGGGAGGGAAAGGGGGAGAGAGAGAAAGAGAGAGAGGGAGAGGGAGAGGGAGGGAGGGAGGGAGGAAGGGAGAGAGAGAGAGAGAGAGAGAGAGAGAGAGAGAGAGAGAGAGAGAAGAGGAGGACCTGTGTGAGTTGGGGATTAGGGTGTTTTGGAAAGGGAGTGCTTAATAAGGATCTTACACAACTAGGAATTACCGATGTGGAGAATTGGGAGGGTTCCAGGCGGAGAGAGGCATGTGGTCAGAGGCTTAGGCCTCAGCAACTAGTGAGATGAGGTAGATGGGTGGTACACAGGTGACTGAAGAGTGAGTAGTGAGACCCCTGGTGGGTGCTGGGGCTTCATCATCTGGAGAAGGGACGGGAGCAGGATACCATGAGAAAGCTGTAAGGCATGGATGTGGCATTGCGGTGACAGGGCCTGTCCTCCCTATACTTTCAGATTTGTCTGGAAGGAAGACTTCTATGTCAGATGCACTGTGGGAGCAATACTGTAGCATCCTCTGACCCTCCTTTAGGGTAAGAATTACAGCTAGAGGACATGGCCTTAACTCCATGCCTCAACTTGGCAGCCTTTTTGTATTTGACTTCTCAGTCTCCAAGGTCAGGGTGGCGGCTGATGGTCTCCTGGGTTTAAGGAAAAGCAGCAAGTGAAAGGAGACTCACTAATCAGTTCTGGCCCAAGGGAACAAGGACAGGGAAAGAAGGCAGCTGCCATGCCAACCTCTTCCTAGCAGGTGTGGCATCTGGGTCAGTATTGACTCTGGGACCAATGACATTCAGCAAAACCTGTCTTCTCTTCTTCCCTCTTCTTCCCCACTTGATTCCTTTGTGTATCCACATCTATCATTGAAACTACTCATGGGTGAGCTGTGTCACCATTGCCGATCCTTTCCCAGGAGTCATGATTCTTTCCATCAGACATTAAGGCAGGAGTCCAAATGCAAATGTCTGCAAAGTTTTGCAGGTATATCAGCGAACACAGTAGTTGGTCATGGCAGCGGTGGCAAGATTAAAGGGAGTGTCTGCTCTGACCCACTCAAGCACCCTTAGTCATTCTTTCAGCAGAGGTCTGAGTAGCTGTTATGTTTAAATTTTAGCATTT